CCAGCCGTGCTCGGTTAATTATAGCCGGGGTGAGGCCAGAACGGAGGGAGATTCCCTTTAAAGGGGCCGAGCGAGGCAGCTCCGGAGCTGGGAATTGGGGGGTAGCCACCCCACAGCCCCCCACCCCATCCCTAAGAGGCCTCAGCCTGGGGAGGTGCCAGCCAGAAGCTAAAAATTCCCTAAAAATTCAGCTAAAGGTGGGGAGAGGGGGTGCGGGCTTCACCACCTCCCTTCAGCCTGGCACCAACATCCTGCCCTGGGAGTTTATTTGGGGTTCACAGCATTGCAGGGGGAAATGTACAGGCCAGGGGGGGTCGGGGCAGCCACCAGAGTGATTTTAACTTCAGAGAAGCTCCAGGCCAGGAGCAAGGAGAGTGGGACAAGGGGGGATGCTGCCACCTCCAAAGATTTATTACATCTGGGGGCCCCAGCTCATGGCAGCCTGCAAGACCCCAGCATCTCACTGGAAATATGGGTGTGCTGTGTCCAGCATCTTCTTTCCCACTTAGGAGAAGCTTCCCAAGCCCTCCCCAGAGGGATGGGTTTGCACTGTAGAAAGGAAACAACTCCTCTGGAAACCTTCCTGTGGGGTTTTGTTGTTTGTTGGGGAAAAAATAATCTCCCGGTGAGGTGGTGATATGGAGTGTTGCCCTTCCCTGCAGGCAAACACGAGGAGCAGCAGGTGGAAGGAGGGATCGTCTCCAAGAACTTCACCAAGAAAATCCAGTAGGTACCAGCTTTGCCAGTCTCCTCCAGGGCTGCGTTTGGAGCCTGTTGGGGTGCAGGGAGGCAGGAGGGGTGCAAGGAGTTGTGCTGCCGGTGCCAGCACATCCCCTGGGGTTCAGCGGGGCATGATGGGCTGACACCATCCCCAGAGCACATCCCGCTGTGGATCTGTCCATCTATCCCGGTGATGTCAGGCAGATTGCTATCTCGTTGACTCACCACCACAGCTCACTCTGGGAACAACACCAGCCAAGGGCAGGGAGGAAAGGCGAGTCCGGAGGCAGGACCCTGGCAAAGCGGGGGGCAGACCCCCCCACCCGCAGGGCTCGTGGGGTTAAGTGGGAGAAGCAGCAACGCCCGGGGCATGGGAAGGGTTTCCTCAGCTGGCAGCAGCTCAGCTTTGCTTTTCCAGCCCTGTGCATCCCAAACTCCCACGGGAAGAGCTGGGGCGAGCACCACGCTTCCTGCTGCTCGGCAGCTGCGGCGGCTCCTTTTACGGGCAAGGCTGCGGCCGGCGGGGATTTACTCCTGCTCGGCAGGAGCCCGGGCGGCACAAGCGGCTGCTGACATCCCGTCAAACACATCTGCTGGGGAGATTAAACAGAGGGGCCAGGCTGGCCAGGAGCCTCTTTAAATATCCCAGCACATTCCCGGGTGCTACGGTAACAAGGAGGGCCTT